TGTGGCCGTTTGGGCCACTCTGATCTGGTCTGTCCGACACCGGGGACGAGGGATGAAAACGGCGAGCTGCCATTTGGAAAGGGCCTACGGCCGTCGGACGAGAAGAAGAAAGCTGCATCTTCTGAGGGTTCTTCACGTACTCAACCAGCAAAATCCAACAGAAACGAGACTAGAAACTCCAGTAATGCAGCCATGGCAGAAGCCGAGGTGAACTCTCCCGTTAAGTGCAAGACAGCTCCAAAACGAAAGGGGGGGGCCGCCAAATCAAGTCTACCGTAGAGTTGAACTTCCCCTCCTCACAAACCACGCCGCCAATGTTGAGGAGGGGACTGAGCACACAGCTATCGGTACTGAAAAGGGGGATGAGGGCTCCGAGGACGAGGGCACAGTCCGGGAACCAAAGAAGAAGAAGCCCACGCCCAACAACTCGAGTACTTCGGCAGAGGCTGCCATGCAGCCCTGCCCAGCCCAATGATATGCCTCAGCTGGAACTGCCGGGGGCTTGGGAACCCCGAGGCAGTTCGCGAGCTTCGCAATGTTGTGAAGCAAGAAGGGCCCGTACTAGTCTTTGTCATGGAAACAAAGATTAGAGGGAAACGTGTTGAGAGATTGCAACAAACCTTAGGGTTTGCAGGCTGCTTTGCTGTTGACAGCGATGGGTTAAGCGGAGGTATCGACCTCTTCTGGTCCAAAGATGTGATAGTAGAGCTCAAGAATTACAGCTCGGCCCACATCGATGTAGTGGTGCACGATGCTTTGGACAACTCGGTGAGCTGGAGATTCACCGGCTTCTATGGAGCGCCAAGAGCAGAGAACAGGCATCACAACTGGCGCTTCCTTCGTACCCTGCATGGGTTACCACACTCGGCGTGGCTATGCATGGGTGATTTTAATGAGACCCTATATGGGGAAGAACACTACAGTCGGGCGGCTCGACCTGAATGGCAGATGAGAGCCTTTCGTGAGATCACCGATGAGTGTGCATTCCAAGATTTAGGTTGGACAGGAGTTCCTTACACTTGGGACAACCGACAATCTGGAGACGCAAATGTTAAGGCCCGGCTAGACCGTGCCTTCGCTAACGAGGACTTTAGACAGATTTTCGCGTATGTTAAAGTGCGCCACATCTGCTCCGTGGAGTCTGATCATTGCTTCGTCTTGACTGACTTTTGGCACCAAGCCCCTTGCAATGGATCACATACGTCGAAACCTTTTCGGTATGAGAATATCTGGCAGTCTCATAACGATTATGACAAGCTCGTCACAGAAACTTGGCGAGCACAGACCTCCCAGCCGGGACTGGGTGGTATTATGAACTCTCTGGCTGCATTACAACGTAGTTTGATGCCGTGGGGGGTTCGAGAATTCGGCTATCTCACCAAGACGGTCCGACAATTACAAAAGCATCTTGACTGATTGCGTGGTCAGTCTGTAGGACGGGGGCCTTCAGAGGAAGAGAAAGCCACTATGCTCAAGCTGCGTGAAGCATTAAAATTGGAGGAGATCTGGCTAAAGCAGCGCTCTCGAGTACCGTGGCTGCGGGAAGGTGATCGCAACACTGCTTATTTCCAAGCGCAGGCAAAGCAACGTCGGTGCATCAACAAGATTGCCAACCTGCAGCGTACAGATGGTTCTGTTTGTGCCTCGGGAGATGAAGACAAGGAAGAAATCTTGGAGTTCTACAAAGCCCTATATACATCTCAAGGCTATAGTAATAGTGAGGTCCTATTATCGCATGTACCAAATCGGGTAACGCCGGCTATGAATGACCTGCTATGCCGCCCGTTTGAAGCTCAAGAGGTACATGATGCATTATTCCAAATGGCGCCTTCCAAGGCGCCGGGGGTGGATGGCTTTACGGCAGGGTTTTATCAACGTCAATGGGACCTTCTGAAGCATGATGTAATCCCAACGGTGCTTGATTTTCTTAAGGGTGGTGAGCTACCTGCGGGTTTGAACGACACGTCGATCACATTAATTCCCAAGGTACGACATCCACAAAATATCTCCCAGTATCGACCCATTGCATTATGCTCAGTTCTTTATAAGATCGCTGTTAAAGTGATCACCAACCGGCTCCGGCCATGCATGGATGAGATAATCAGTGAGGAGCAAAGTGCTTTCGTCCCGGGTCGTCTTGTCACCGACAACGTCCTTGTGGCTTTTGAAAGTGTTCATACGATGAAGAGGCGAAAGAAAGGGCAAAACTTCTCATGTGCGATTAAGTTGGACATGATGAAGGCTTATGACCGAGTGGAATGGCACTTCCTTGAAGCTATGATGCTGAGGCTCGGGTTTGCGGGCAATATGGTCAGATTAATATTGAAGTGCGTCACTTCGGTTCGTTTCTCTGTTCGTGTCAACGGAGAGCTGCTGCCTTTTTTCACACCATCAAGAGGTCTTCGGCAAGGTTGTCCTGTATCCCCATACCTATTCTTGCTCTGTGCCGAAGGATTCTCCTCTATGCTGAAAAATTATGGCAATTACGTGGATCGGGGCATACGAGTTAATTTTCGGGCCCCTTGGGTAAGTCATCTCTTATTTGCTGATGACAGTTTGATCTTCATCAAAGCAAGCACAGAGAGTGCAATTAGGCTGAATGATATCCTAAGAATATATGGGGAGGCTTCCGGTAAGTGTGTAAACAGAGCTAAAAGTGCTATCTACTTCAGCCCAAACACACCGGCGGCGCTCAAAGAATCCCTCAAACAGCTGCTCAACGTCCATTCAGAAGCTTTTTCAGAGCGGTATCTTGGTCTACCCACTGCTGTTGGGAGAATAACAAGTGGTACTTTTGAACACATTGGAGACCGAGTAAGGGGGAAAATGCAGGGTTGGTCTGAACGGTTCTTTGCTTGTGCAGGCAGAGAAACATTGATCAAATCTATTGTTCAGGCTATATCAACTTTTAGCATGTCTTGTTTTCTGCTTACCAAGAAAGTTTGCAAAGGTTTAACCTCAAACATGGCAAAATTTTGGTGGGGAAGTTCGGTTGACAGGCGGTCCTTGCACTGGATCGCTTGGGACAAACTAGCCACGCCAAAGATTAAAGGAGGGATGGGCTTTCGTGATCTCCGACAATTCAATCTAGCGCTCCTCGGGAAGCATGGCTGGAGATTCATGACAAAGCCGGACGCTCTTTGTTCAAGAGTAATGAAAGGAAGATATTTCCCTAACTGTGATTTTATGCAGGCAACAACTCCTAAATCTTCATCTGCCATATGGAGGGCCATAGTTGCTGGCCGCGAAGCTCTCCACGTTGGCCTGCTAAAACGCATCGGGGATGGTGCAAATACTTCCATCTGGGAGGACCGGTGGATCCCGACTACTGCCACCATGCGGCCGCTCTTCAGGCCACCGGCTGCGATGGCTACAATGGTCAGTGACCTAATCGATGAGGTCAACTGGACCTGGAAGCATGATCTTGTGCGCGGCACCTTCATCGCGCCAGATGCAGAAGCAATCTTGAACATCCCACTCCGGCAGGGTGGTGGAGAAGATTTCTTGGCTTGGGCACACGAGAGAACCGGCATCTACTCTGTTAAATCAGCCTATCGAGCTTTGATGAACAAAAAAGAGCGCTTAGCTCTTGAAGAGGGGCAGATAACGACGCCATCAATGAGTGAACAACAGATGTGGAGCCAACTATGGAAACTCAAAGTTGTCCCAAAAGTCCGGGTATTCTGGTGGCGGGTACTTAAGGGGATCATCCCTGACGAGTGCACTCTACACTACCGACATATCAAAGTCAACAGCTTATGCAAATTGTGTCTTGCTATGGACGAAGACCTGATGCACGCCCTAATGCATTGCTCCCATGCACGCAGATTTTGGGAGGAGGCACGGTTATTGTTTGATATCAGACTGCCTCGGCTCCACCCCAACACTTGGGCGCGTGATATCCTCTGTGAACCAAGTTTTACTGAAAAGGATCGTGCTACGATAATTACAGTGATGTGGGCAATATGGATGTCTCACAACAGAAGGACGCACGACCAAGAAAACATTGATCCTGTGAGCTCGGTTCGTCGCATCCGCGAGGACCTAGCGCTGCTTGATATACCCCGGCAGATGTTCATACCACTACCGGGTCACGGATGGCGACCCCCCGAAGAGGCCTATATCAAAATCAACACAGATGCGGCAATACAGTTTGATACTGCTTCGGCCGGATTGGGGGGTGTGGCTCGCTCCTCCTCGGCTCTCCTGGGTGCATGGTGTAAACCCCAACTGGGGACAACGGATCCTTTCATTGCTGAGATGCTTGCGCTTCGCGAAGGTGTCATCTTTGCCAAGCTTCGTGGCTTCTTACACGTGCACATGGAGACCGACTGTCTTGAGGCAGTCAACCTCTGGAACCTTGGCTACGTCGATCGGTCGATAGTAGCTCCAATAGTTGCTGAAATTAGAGAGCTCTCTGCTAGCTTTTTGTCTTTCAATATTTCTCATGTAATAAGAGCCGCTAACGGTCCTGCACATTTGTGTGCTAAGCGTGCCTGTACGCTTACTGTGACTGAAAGCTGGCTGGACTCCACCCCTAGCTTCCTGACCAGCAGCCTCCTGGCTGATTGCTCAGCGAATGCCTTTGTTTAATAAAGCTCTCTAAGTTTCCCCGAAAAAAAAACCCGACATAGCATTTAGTTGCCAGATAATTATTGTTTTTTCGGGCAACCAGATAATTATTGTTAATTACACAACACAATTTTTAGTTTTTTTAGTACTCTGGTTGTTCCTGCGCGCTGGGCACCCTCGCTGTGAGTTCGGTCAAAAAGAAAAAGAAAAACATATCGCAGCGCGCCGTCAGCTTCCCCTCCCCATTTCGTTCGTTCGTTCGTTCCCCCTCTCGCCTCCCCACCCAGGAAGAAAGCTTCTCTTTTTTCCCCTCGCCTCGCCGGGACGAAATCTCCAAAACCCTAGAACCAACCCGCCGCCCCCCATGCCGCCCAGACGACGCCCCGGCCACCCGTTGATATTCCGTCTTCCAGACGATCGAAGCATCAATGTCTACGCCAACGACGATGGGGATTTTGTCACCGGCGGATCGGAGCCACGACTCCTCTCTGATCTCTGCAGAGAAATCAACTCCGAAATGCGGCGCCAGCGCGACCTTTCCCGCAGTCGCCCCTCCCTTCCTCCATCAGCCACCGCCTCCACCGTATGTTAGATACAACTAATAATGGAAAATTACAATGAGATCTCTTGCAGACATCTTCTCCTTGGTTTCAATCTTTGCAAAATAATAACAATTTATACTATTCCACACTCTTATTCATCTCTTGTTTTTTCAGCAGCGAGGACACCGAGCAGGCAGTGCGTATTGAGGCCCCACCACCGCCAAGGCCTTTTCCACCTGTTTCTTCACTGATGCCAACAAGATTGCTCATTAAATATTTTCTGAGGGTTGATGCTGATGGACTCTTTCACACATATCCTCGTCGAGGTGGTCCGTTTAAGAGCTTGAAAGAAGCTCAGGATGCTATAGACTCCCATCACGCTAATCTGTGTAAATTCAAGTAAATCTTCTCTCAACTTTGTTTCTATGTGGAAGTGCTGAAAAATTCTTATATGTATATGCTATGTCCTATGCTAGCATCTTATATGCAAGTACGTAATTTATAGTTAAGCCACTACTAGCTTGGCACACCCTATGATGACAGGTAGCACTTTCAGTGAAGTGGACAGAATAGCATTGTGACAAAAAAGATCAATTTGTTGAAGTCAGTGTATCTGAAAAGATCAATCATCCAAGCTTGTACTTTTCCTCAGCTATGTGACTGTATTTTCAGATTCCTGGCCCAGTGTTGTTTTACGGGTCAGGACTTAAGGGCTTCTTGTCGCTTGTTGGTGATCACTGTGGACCATTGCCGCTGTGATATAAGAGCAAACCGTTGAGACCTCCTTTGGTTTACAGGAATTTTGAAGGAATTCTAGAGGACAGGAATTTTGTAGAAAAAATTAATTTGAAGCCCTTTGGTTTGTAGGAATGTTTTCCTATTCCTATGTAGGATAGGAATCCTTAACATTTCAAAGGGAAAAAAATATTAGCCTATACCCAATGGAAAACTTCCTATCCTATGAATCAAATTTCATCTCTTTTCTAATTGGAATTGAGATACATATCTCATTTCCTATGGTTTTCCTATTCCCATGACATTCCTATCCTACGAACCAAAAAGGGAAATCTCCCACAGAGCAAGTAAAAATCTGAGCATAAATGTCTTGCTTAGCCAGTGCTTCCCCAAAACAGAAAAGTTCACTTTTCAGGAAGTAAGTCCAGTGAAACGCTCAAAAACACACAGAATTATCTTAAGATTTCTAGCCCCCTCCAAATCATCCTCTCAGCATACTTCTGTATGGCTAAACCACCATTGTGCAGCTGAGGGACGAAGCCTTTAGTGAAACCTTATTCTTGGGCTCTTTTGATCAGAGTAGCCAGAACATCAGCAGCAACATTATAAAATGTAAAGGAGAGAAGGAGTCTCCTTGCCTGAGCCCCTTCCTAGTAACAAAGTATTAGCCATAAACCTATCATGTCATTCAGAGTATTAGCAACCTTGCCATTGCAGACAACAGCTTTAGTCCACCGAACAAACTTCCTAGGGAAACCTTTCATTTTTAGGACTGAAAACATAAACTCCAAATCGATTTTGTCGTATGCCTTCTCAGAATCTATTTTTAGAGCTTACAAGAAGCTCAGGACGCCACTGACTGTCATCACACTAATCTGTGTAAATTCAAGTGAATCTTCTCTCAAATTTGTTTCTATTTGTAAGTGTTGGAAAATGCTTATATGTATATGTTGTGTCCTATGCTATCATCTTATATGCAAGTATATTTCTCTTTCGCTCAATCGTTACTTGTACAGTTAGGCCACTATTTGGTACACCCAATGGTGATAAGTAGCAGTTGTAATGAAGTGGACTGAATACTGTTGTGACACAAAAGATCAATTTGCTAATGTCTGCTGTCTCTGAAGATCAATCATCCAAATACTCATAGCAATTAGCTGAACAATCTTAAATGAAGTGATCTGCAAGTAACCAACTTTTGTCATAGTCCATCTTCTATCACAAAAACCTAAACCAGTAGGAAATACAAAAGGCTAATTCCTAATAAAGGTAGTAGATACTGCTTGCTAACTAACTTTTCAATCATTTTCATTCACAGGCAATGGTACTCTCCAAGTGCCCCTGAACCCGAGTCTACAACACACAAATTTGCTTAGCGGACCTTTCGTTTCCTGTGCTGTTTTGGGTCCAGGTTAGCTAGGACTCGTAGGCTATATGCTGAGGACGGTCATTTTTCCTTTCTTCTTTCTTGGCTTCACCGTTGATGGGTGTTTGTAAATATTGGTTCCGATACATCTTAGTGGTTTCTTCTTAATGAAAAATGACAACGGTTCCATGCAGGTTTGAGAAAATATAATTATCTCAATTAAAATCCTCAAATTGACGCTTAACGATCATTGTTGTGAATGCTAGATTTTTCCCCAGCTCAGACCAGTGTGTTGATAATTTTTTGGTCTGTAGGCTGTGAGTTTGCTTAGCCTTTTATTGTTTATTGCTACCATGAGTTGTGTTAGCCTTGGGGGTTGTTTGGTCTATCTCTTATTCTCTTTGCACTAGGTACATGGGGGATCTTTCAGAGGAGGATGTCCATGTGTGGCAGACCCTGTACTGGCCTAATGGTACAAGGATGAATTCCAAACAAGCTTTGGATGTGATGATGAACCGTCGCCCCAAATGGGATGTACTTAACGCTTTACTGGACAAGTACAATGAGGACCATCATCTTTTTGGGGTTTGCGCTCTCCCTCACTCCCTTTTGGCTTCGCTCTTGGTTCTTTCATTACTGATATGATGATGTATGTTTACCATGTTAGGATTTTGCATATGAATTGAAGGAAATTGTGAGTTACAAACCACATTTTCAGGGAAGAAACTCTCCATACAAATGCAGATCATTCTCTCACTTAAATTTGATTGTCAAGAGTGGGTCGAGTGCCGTCGGCGATCTTTTCTTCGCTGAAATTACATGTTTGAAGGATGGCGAGTTGGAGGAATATGTGCTCAGCTGTATATGTGTTGTTACGCCAGAAGCTAACGGTATATTCTGTTTCTCCGCTGCTATTTCTGTTCAGTCATTTTTCTGAATGTTGGAGCTCGTTATTTTTACATGTATGCTCACAGTCAACTTCTTAAAGATGAACATTTTCTAAGTTAGCTAAGCAACTACCACAAAAGGCTATTCCTGCAATAGAGTTTTGAGTGAATCCGATGTCTACATACTTCAAATGCTGAAGCACCATCATGGTCTAACATTTTAGATTTTCCACCATAATATTAACAATATGGCAGCATGTTCTCCAGTTATTCTGAGGTGCAAAAAGAGCATACCAATACCTTGAACCTGATGGTGCCCGGGAAACAGCCTAAATAGCGCCTGAATGATGGTGCTCCTGCTGTTTTATGTAAGCAATCATATGAGTCTGGTGGTTTGCACTGACACTGCACACAACACATATAGAGCGTGACATTTGAAGGAGTGCATCTCTCCAAGTATAGGCACTATCTAATTATGGTTGTAATGCTAGTGATGCATGGTCCATAAGCACTAGGCTACTAACATGTCCAGGCATGCTCCATATTAATAACGTATAGAATTAAAATTCCAACATGTCTCTTAATTTATCAGATTTTATGGAAAAATAACTCTTGCACTTGCAGTTATCAGTTTTTACGAAAGCAGTTACCAGGTTCTCAGATATAATTGCCAAACTGTTTTGATACGGTTGTCGGGTTTTGTGGAAGCAATTACCAGATTCTCAAATGTAGTTGCCAGGTTGTTTTGCAGTAGCTATAGGTTCTCCTGATGCAGTTGACTAATTCTTTAACAATAGCTATGGGGTCCTGAAAAACAATTACTAGGTTGTTTACAAAGCAGTTATTGGTTTGTTTAATATTATAGTTTAGGTTCATCGATTTGTATGGTATATACACGTTTATACTCGTGAAGGATAGCGTCAAGGATAAAAGGTCGTGCTATCCAGTGGTTTGGTATTAGCTATATGTTTTGTGGTATAAGGTTACCATTGAAATTAAAAATGTTCTTAACCTTAGTCTCTGCATGTATGAATTTCATGTCTTGTTTTAGAGACTAAATTTTTTGAGAGGGAGAGACGTGAACATCAAAGAAAAGAAGCATGCATACATCTCTTGCATCCCTGTCAGAAAAAGCAGGTCTCCTGCACAATAGCTGCAGCGTCCCTATAGGCTATAGCAACCATTCAAGCCTCGCTGTAGTGCTACTGTCGTCTTAATGTAGCACTTGCAGAAAAGATTCACGCTTGTGTCGCCCCAGCAGATCGGGTGCGGCCAATGAGCCACCACACGCTAAGGCAGCTGTGCGACCGTGTACAAAGTAGATTTTCGAATGAATTGGTTTACTAGTCCTAAAGACGTGCCCCTGACATTTTGTTAGAAAATTTGTTTCGTCAGAAACTTGTTGGTGCTAGAGAATTGTGCTGCTATGCGCAGTGTACAACCAGTAATTATCAAACAGCGGAAGACCAAATGAAGGAAACACATTAACAATATTACAAATTCCTGATGGATGGAGATAACTAGTCAACAGAACAATTCCTAATCTAGGCATCTAGTAACTACCTCCTCCGTCCCATAATATAAGAGCGATTTTGACTCTAAACTAGTGTAAGAAACGCTCTTATATTATGGGACGGAGGGGAGTAGTTTATTTTTTTAGGGATAAGGAGGGCGAGCTTTACCTGAACGGAGCTGGCTGCCAAGAGCGTCGGAGGTATGGCAGTAACATGGGTGAGCTCCTTGTCGGGAGTGCCTGGAAGAGGGGAGGATGTCGCGGCGGCAGCCCGGAAAGATAGCAATGTGCCCATAGGTCAACAAGGGTCCGCAAGAACTGCTCCACACCGTCAGTACAGCGAGAGTCTCACCTTCGATGCCGAAGCTGCAAGAGCGGTGCTGCAGATGTAGGAGGAAGTGCATCAGGTTGGGCGCATTCGAGCTGCTGCAGCCATCCACGCTCGTATTGTTGAGCTTTGACATCCACCATGATGAGGTTGTTCTCATTGTTGGCCTTTGGGCGACGCCTGCGCGGTGTCCTGGCTCAGTGTCTGATGATGGGCAGCGCATCCACCATGACGAGGTCGTTGCTGTGACTGAACTTGGGCGAGCGTCGTGGCTTGCCTTAGGTAACGCCTCTGGAGCATCGTGGTGGGGCAGCACCTCCGCATCCAAGGGCGGGTACTCGGCAGCGTCGTGGCTGCCTGCCTCGTGTGTCACCTGAGCATCCAAGGGTGGCGTGACGGCAGCGTCGTGGCTGGCCTCCTCGACATCTAGGGGTGGTGTGGACGGGAAGATCAGACTGGGCTGGATTTGCTAGGGTTTGGAGAGATTAGAGGAGGAGAAGAGGATGAGAGAAAGTGGAGGAGCCCGTGCGGCGGACGAAACTGGGGGAGAGGCGCTGGCAGCACCGAGACGGGAGCGAGAGATGGTGGCCGTGAGATGTGAGGGGATAATGGGGCACAGGGGCCCGAAACGGGTTTGGGAGGGCTGCAAACGAGCTTTTCAGGGTTTGCATGAGGTCCTCGTTTGCGGCGGGAGGTAGGATCTACCCTTGTTTGCAGTAGAAATTAGCCAATCGGGCGATACGAAAACAATACAACGAAGTGGATAGGCTGGGAGGACTTAGAAGCAGCTTTTCTCCCGAGGAATTCTCATTTGCATTATCTTAGTCACTCATTCTGCTATTTAGTATATTCTCTGCTTGCTATTTTTGTTCATTATTTTTTCCATAATGGTAGGGCCAAAATCTTTGTGAATGTTTGTTTGTTCCAGACTTCCAGTCCTATTTTGTATTTTGAATAGTATCAGATTTATGCATCAGATGTTGATTAACAAAACTACAACATAATTATAGGCGAGTACTGTGGATGTGGAGATGATGTAAAGCACCCCACTGGTGTTGAGTACAAAAAGCGGGACAAGTTGCCTGTTCGGCGCAATGGTTGTAGGCAAATGTCAGAAGAATTATTCAATGAGGTATTAGTCACGCAAAAAACTTGAAACGTTATGGATGTGGAGATGAGCCGTTGTTAGTTTCATGTATTGATCTTTTCCTTTTTGCAGTTTATTGTTGTTCGTGATGAGGATTGGCTGGATGCAGAGGAGGCCAGGGTGAGACGAGAGTTTAGGATGAGCAACAAAGGAGATGGCCAGGGAATGAGGGGCAGATACGTCGTACCGGCAAAACGGTAGATGTGCAAGCATAGAGTGCATTTCTGCATGTCAAAGCAGGCAGGTGGTAGAGATTGAAGCGATTGGCTAGTTAGGTTTCCGTAGCTCCCTTTTGTTCTGTTTCAGTATCATAGATCTCAAGACTCCTCTATAGTGGTGTCTTTAGAATGCCAAAACAAGAAGAAAGAACCTGTGGCAAGACGAGAAAGTCGCTGAGCCATTGTAGCTTGTGGCCTGGTGCGTTGCTATCGTTACAGTCAGTACCAGTGGTACTGAGCAAGTACTCTGTGCGTGTGTCTGTTGGATGTTTCATACTCCTCTGTCCCATAATATAAAAGTGTTTTGTGTAATATAAGAGCGTTTTGTGTCAAAAACACTCTTACATTACACAAACGCTCTTATATTATACTCCCTCCGTTCCTAAATATTTGTCTTTTTAGACATTTCAAATGACTACTATATACGGATGTATGTAGACATATTTTAGAGTGTAGATTCACCCATTTTGCTACGTATGTAGTCACTTGTTGAAATGCCTAGAAAGACAAGTATTTAGGAACGGAGGGAGTAGGATGGAGGGAGTAGTATCTTGCTGCTGTAGAAGCCTTTGTTGGGTGGGTTGAAGGTGAGCAGGCAGAACCAAAGTGGCTTCTTTTTTAGCCTTTGGCCTGTGTTGTGTTCGTGGTTTGGTTTGGAAAAGTAATGCTATTGCAGTGGTTGATATCTACTCCCTCCGTTCCTAAATGTAAGTCTTTGTAAAGATTTCACTATAAACCACATACGGACGTATGTAGATGCATTTTAGAGTGTAGATCCACTTATTTTCTTGCGTATGTAGATCATAGTAAAATCTCTATAAAGACCTATATTTAGAAACAGGAGTACTAGCTTAACATGATTGAGAGTTTCAAGACCTGCTGTGACAGTGAACTGATCATAGAAATTCATGGTAGCTGTCGTGCCATGGTGCGGCGCTGGCTGAACAGACTCTCGAGATAGAGGTTGTATTTGTGCTCAACGATGCACATTACTAGAACTGCACGCGTGCCATTCTCCTTTTGTACTCCCTCCGTTTTAAAATATAGTGCTTCCTCTATTTCTGACCATAAATTTAATTAACGAGACAGACTGCGGTGGGAGCAAAAATTATACCAGTGAATTCGTATTCGAAAAAGTTTTTAATTATATAATTTTTTCTTCCGTCGCATTCGGTCTCGTTGGTTAAATTTATGGTCAGAGTTGGACCTCAGAAAGTGCGGACGCACTATATATTTTGAAATGGAGGGAGTAGTCGGGTACTTTCTTGGGTCTTTATTATTGGGTGCAAAAAGGGTAATTGCATAGGATGTCATGGGAGCTCCACCCACCAGGCCACTGACTATCAGAAAACTCAGTAGATGAGTTGCAACGACCGTATCCCCTGGTGACGACCTAGGGTTTTACCACCCTAGGTCATCGCGATGACCTAGGATTTTACCAGGCTGCCGCCAGCGAATGATGCCGGCGTCCACCACAAGACCTGGATGCATGCACTGTACTCATGTTTTGGCCTCCTCCCCTTCCCGGCAGTTTCTACCTCCTCCGCTAGTGGCGATGCCTATGGTTCTTCGTCCTCTTGCTCGGTCATCCCGACTTCGCTACCCAGTATGATGTGGCCTGCCGCGGCGGGAGCTCAACTCAACCTGGCGTATGTTTTGCCGCCCCCGTCGGAGGAGGAGGCGACGGAGGTGGCGTACCAGGCCGCACTGCAGAAGGCGCTCCAGCGCGCCTTGAAGGAGAACTAGCGCAGGGAGGACACACGCTGGGAAGGCTTCGAGGAGGCCCTCACACTTTCAATGACGGGGGACTGCGGCTACCCCCCTGTCGTACAAAAGTAGGGGATCTTCTGTACCCCTTACTTGTGCACGGGCAGTCGTAGCCACACCCACGGTAAGGCTCGGCAGGGCAGGAGGAGGCGAAACACAAGACTACCAAGACAGACAATCAAGGCAGTGAACAAGGGACAGAAGACGAGCTGGACCTCCCCCGGCAACATCCTTGCAGGGGCGACTTGTGTAGCCCCGGCAAGCTCCTTGACGGGGCAACCTGCAAAGCACCAGCAAGGCCATCACCCTTGAGGCTGAGAGCTTTGACACCATCGACAACGTCAAGGCCAAGACTTGGAGACGCATGCATAGTAGCATGCTGATCTTTGTGAAGATTAGTAGCCTGCGGGTCCACGTGGGACCAGAGGACGAAGACCCCCGGCAAGACCCTTGCCGGGGACGACCGTGGACAATTACGGGGCCGCAGCCAGTCCCGCGTTTGACAAGGTTTCGCCACCTCAGCACCACTCCAGCACGACGATCCGCCTGCCAACTAAGTAGGCGCCTGCGTGGCGGCATGCAGATCTTCATGGAGGCTTTACCACCGCGCCAGCACAGTAGCTGGCTAGCCAGCGTGGCACTGCATGCCTCGTCAGCCTGGACGTCAAGGCAAGGAGGGGCGGCGACGGACGGGACAACTTCTGTTGCCGTCCCCGATAAAGTGAAGTGGCACGTAGGCAACACATTAAATGTGTTTGTCCTACGATGTCAGAGATAAACTTGTACACTGTAGATACTTTTCACCTCCTGTGTGCTGTTGTGCAACCCCTTTGTCATAGAAAAGGAGGCCCGAGGCGTACTGAGAGAGGATTCAGACTTTTGGACTGGGCATGCACCGCAGCTAGTTCAAGATCTCAAGAACACAAAATATACAAACAAGCAGGACTAGGGTTTTACGCACCAGTGCGGCCCGAACCTAGGTAAAAATCCCTCGCGCTGATCGCTAGACCTGCTCTTTGCGCAACTCCTCACCCCGCCAACCGTAGAAGGGATCGCCCCTGATCCCATAGGTGTTCGAGTCCCCGACATCCCCCAAGCCGCCGCTGCCCGAGCCTACCCCACACGCATGCAGCTGCCGCCGGACCTCGGTGAGCGGTACAAGTGGTAGGGCTATCTTCGCGACTCGGTGAGCACGCCGCACGTGTGGCTAGGTGCAACGCTGGAGCAGGAGGCTGCATACCTCCAATAATGGAGGGCCCGCGCGCTGGCAAAGGAGTGGGAGGACGGCGAGCGACGCGTGCAACAGGAGCAGGCGCAGCGCTGGGCACGCGAGGAGGAGTGCCGGGAGCGCAAGGAGGAGGGGTGTGCGAGTCGCGCAGCCTATCCGCTGGCGCCAGGTCCGCCGGCGCCGCAAACCGCAGAGGAGGCGGCACATGCGATATGGCAATAGGCCTTCACCTGGGCGGTGCCGCCGTCGGACTTTGTCGACCTCACCGGCCCGGACGACGACACGTAGGGCAGCGTGCTGGGCGGCAATCTCTTTTTTAGTTTTAAATTTATGTTTAATAAGTTTAAGTGGACTTTGGAAGTTTTAATGTTTAATCATGTTGACTTTATATTTAATTATGTGCATGTTCTGCTTTTTTATTTGGGTCCACATGAAAGATGCGCCGGTCACCGTTGGGCATGCCGACCAACCCAAACGAAAAACCAGACACTCGTTCGCTCGGCCGACCCAAACAAATAAAATCCGCACTGTTTGAGTTGCCTTAAGGCACAAAATCTCCATTGTGATATGCTAGGGATGGAGGTGTCTGCTAGGGACGGACTTTGTCTGAGATTCATATAAACTATGATGATATCCATGTTGATTCATCGGGTTTTCGCCCTGTAATGGGTAATTTTGATGGCGACTGCTCACAGTGGGTTTTTTGGTGTTGCTTGAACTCGCTTTACCCTCTCCCGTCTCATTATCTGGACTTTGTATTTTCGTCAATGTCGCACTAATGGAAAGGGGTTATGGCCGGTTAATAAAAATATACATGTTTGTGTAAACAGTGACTCATGGCGCTTTAGTAGTTTGCATGGAGAACAAGAGGGGAGACCGGAAGCATCTTACTTGGGACTATTTGAGAGATATCCGTGCTATGGTAATTTTGCCATGGTTGATACTTGATAGGAGGGAACTTGAATGAAATTTTGCATGGATATGATGAAGATGGGGGCTATATTCGGTTTCAGAGATGTGCTCAATGAGTGTGATCTGGAAGATTGTGGTTATCATGCCCTTCTCGGTGCTCCATGGTGGACAAGTGCGAAGCATGCCACATATGTAAAAATAAAATAAAATGACATGGCACATCACTTAAGAAGGAGAGAGAGCACTTTGGTGATCCCAGAAAGAACCAATGCCAAGCACGTGAACCTAGGCAAACTACTTAAGTGAAGAAGTTGACCAATGCATGAAAGACTTTAGATGCTAAATCATTAAATAAAGTGAGCTTACCAACAACAAGTTAAGCACCTATGCATTGGAAAATCGAATTGCTAACCCATTTAATGCACTTAGCACCTTATCTAAACACCTTTGCATTGGAGGAGGCCTCATGGTGACATATATTTATCTAGAGAAGAGGACATTGAGAGAGCGACAGTGGGCAAATAAAGGTTGGCCGTGTATGTTCCCACCACATCGCGTGACCAATGAGGAATTCAATAAGTATGATCACCATCCGATAGCCATTGACACTGAATACTAGGTGTATGTGCAGCTTAGGCGACATCAGTGCTAAGAATTAGACTGGTTAAATATCTTTCCATGAAAACACTGACATCGCCATACACCTTGAGCATAATTGGTGTGCTACCAATATTTGGCTTGCCAAATGTTGGCACTGCTAACCATTGACAATATGTAGACTTGCCAATTATTGGCAACTTTATATGAGATAAGCAAAACAACTTGTAGTCAACCAAGTAGTTGTTAATATTTGGCACAGTGCCAAACATTGGCATGCCAAACCAATTATGCTCCTTGTTTCTTCCACGGTTCCACCGGCAGAGGTCCCTCTGTTTTGAAGATCGCATCATCCATATCTTTTTTTGATAGTCCAAGATCCTTTAGCATAGCCTCAAGTTTCACCACGCCTTGTCGTTCCCGACATGGAACCCGGTACATACTTTTCCATGGCTAGAAACCCTAATCCGATCTACTCG